AGCAGATCGGCAAAGAAAGAGGGCTCCGTTGCATTTTTGTTTTGCTCAGTGACAGCACCATCAAAGTTGTGATTAAAACAGTCTTCAGATGGGCTCTTGACAAACAGGGAAAAAAAGTAATTAGTTTTCCCTGCATGTAAAATATTAATGGGGACCTTTCAGACAATAACAGTGGCCTACATTTCAAGTCCCCTTGTCCATATCCTTGATCTATTCATCTGTGTTTGAAGTGCTTACTGCAAAAGAGATGGTTCAAAATAATACAAAGAATTTTATTTTGTTTCACTGCATGAAAATGACTCATTATGAGAATGAACTGATTCTGCTTCTGAAATGTTGTAGAAGTGTTATAACAGTTTGATCATCAAAAATTCGAAATACATTGGACAAGATGCATATTTCTCACTGTTTATCTCGATATTCATGTTGTTTATGCTAATGGATGGTTAGAGGGTTTGCGGTTGTGCAGCGAGCTAAGGTAATTGACTCTTGCTGATTGATTTATTTGGAATTTAAGTGACTCTAGGATCAGCTGGCCGTGTTACAGAAGGACTTCCCAGTTGTTACTTGTCCTTTGCTGGGCTTTCTACATTGTGCCTGGATAACAGTTTCATATATATGTTGTTTTATAAGACGATTAGCTATGACGGTAGGACGGGAGACAACTGGACTCCTGGCTCCTCTCAGTGAGAGGCCTGTGGTGGCTCAGCTCAGTTCTCTTTGTTAGTAGATAGCCTGCAGACCGCAGCTCTGGCTCAGCTGCAAGGACGAGCCTGAGTCTTAAAAATAAAGACCTGTTTCCTGGTTTAGACATGCCAGCTGCTCAAAATAACAAGGCACTTAATGAGAGATCCAGCACCACATTGCAGTCCCAAGCATCAGCTTATTTTTGCCCTCAAACATCTTCTGTATCTGGTTCTATTTATACTGTCAGACAGGGAATTTAGATCAGCAACCCTCTCTGTTTCACACGAAACGTTCACAACATGCGCGGTTAAAGTGCAGTTCATAGTGTTTCGTTATTTTGATGCTCAAATGGGCAAATAACTAATAAAATGCAAATTATACATAACGGTCTAGGAGCAGTATCAGCAAAGTGAAGATGGTATCCTTCTTGTTGTGCACACTCCTGTGGTTCAGTGGAAAAACACAACCACAGCTGCACTTGTAGTGATGTTTCTGGCCTTGTACGGGTTTTAATTTCATCAAGCAAAAAAAGCAGTTATTGGGAAAACTGGTGGAAGTCGAGTTACATAACAGCAACAACCTCTAATGCTGCATTTATATGAATTTCATACTTTTTGTTTGCTGAAATTTTTTTACGCTAATTTATTGATCTTAACTTTTAGAATCAAAGTGCTAATATTTACAGAATATTAGCACTTGGTTATTTCATTACAGAATTGTAATGAAATAACTGAATGTGTTCTGAATAGACTCCATAGTACATGTTGCACGAGTGCTATTGTTATTTAAACACATCTCTGAAACTAGACTAAGCCCCAGATAAGCCCTAAATAAGCATTTATGTTAATACTTGTTAACTGGTTTACCAACAGACATTTTTGAACAGAAGTGAGTGAACAGAAGCTTTATGTGCCTTTTTTCTTCAGTCTCACACAGTCTCACCATATTAATAACTCCATCCTCATTTTAATAGTCAGTTTAGAAGCTCTCAAAAAATGCTAAAGCATTATTTTAGCCTGGAAGTCAAACAAAGCCTGCGTTATTGATTTATTGTGTTAATATTTTGCAGTGTGCATCTTCATATGTCTTTTGGTATCCTCATGTGTAATAGTAGTGTCACTGGTGATGTGTCTCTCTACGATGGGAAGTCTGCTAATGTGGCCTGAGGCAAAAAAAGATAACCATCCAACATCTCAAATTAAGGCCGTGATTGTCACCCTAACCGCCACCAAGGCTAATGAGAGGCAGATCGGTTATAGAAATAAACACTTTGGGGACACTGGCGGTGCGACGCTGCACTGGGAGTGTGGTCACAGGCCATGAGTCACCCAATCCCCCCTTGGCAGGCCCTCCACAGGGAGGAATTTGGGCACGGGGCAGGGTGCTTGTTGCTCCCTTGTGCTAAAAACAAATTTGGGACCTGTCATTCATAAATCTCATGTTTACCACCGCCTAGAGACACTTCTGTGCGCTTTGTACCAATCAAGACTCATCAAAATTATCCATGATCTCCAGTCAGACCACTGAACCAGAAGTGGAAGGCTCTTCCTTGTGAGTGATCATTTAGAAAAAGGACCTGAAAGTTACATAAATGTGACACTGCTCTTTTATTTTTGCCCATGTTAAATTGAGCAGGCGGCCTCACAACTGTGACAGCCTCTTGCACATTGTCTATATTAAGACCCTGCTCAGAAAAGCACTTATATTTAGACCTAGTTACTGGTGGTTCCGTATTTTTTTGATACAGAAACAGCACATTTCGGTTTGGGTAGTTTCGAGGTGCATTTTATTTAAATGCATCTATATAACTGTAAATTTACAATAGCGGAGACGATATCCAGGGCTGTTCACGGACGATAATATTGATGATGAGAATTGTTAGTTGCAAATTGTACTTTAAAAAGGTAGATGCTTCAGTGTGGTTGGAACAGTGCCACCCTTGCTTTAGGGCTTTACTTTTTTCCTTTAACATTGTCTTTCCATTCAGCTTTATTCTTGCCAACAGAAACCAGACAAGAATAGAACAGGCACATGAGGCTGTTAAGGTTTCCTCAAGGGCCATCGCATACAGTCCTGGTTATCAAAGGTGGCTTAAGCTTTCATGGTCCTCCTCTCTCCTTCCTCCCTCTCTCCCCCTTCCCATCATGTTAAACCACTGTCTGAGATTTTGTGATGGAGACTCAGCTTGACGTGCAGATCAAAGTGGAGGTCCTTAATGCCAGTCGCAGTAAGAGTACGGAATGAAATATGAGATTAATTAGGTATCACAGTGGTGAATTCTCTCAGGCAGCAGGTGTTTTTTGTTGCTATATTTAGGTCCATTATGAAAAAGTAGCACTAATGTTGTCTGACTCTCCGAACCCTTCGACGGTTCACAGGGTCACGGCTGCTCCTGGAACAGCGTCCGCTACAAAAGAGTCCTTTGTAAAGTGCTTACAAGCCATGATTAATATTCCCTGTCAGACGGGAAGGGTTTGTTCTACAGGTGCCTGTTCTCCGCGCCTGCCGAGCTGTTGCCCTCTTCTGTCTTTTGATTGGAGCTGTTTTTAGAACACAGAGAGGAAATATACAGCACGGGAGTCCCCTCAAGCTGCCTTCACTTTTTTGAAAATGTTTTAAGACAACTTATCACCTAACCAACGATTCTCTCCCAAATATGCGTGTGTGTATTTGTGTGTGTGAGAGTGTTTGTGTTGGTGGGTTTTGTAATGCTTTCTCTCTGTCTCTCGCTCGCTCTCTCTCTAGTGGGGACTCCTTTCTTATATAAGAGGCAAAAAGCTGATATAATAGTCAACATGTCACATTGCCAATGTAGGCAGAAGATGACATGCAGTGAGACTCGATCACTGCAGAATGGGGAGACATAATTACGTCGCCAGCGTTGCCATGGCAGCGGCAAGTTACGGTGGTGGATACTAGGGTGTGGGGTTTGTCACAGACCAGGATTGCGCCACTTGCTTTTATGTTTCTATTTATAATCATCACCGCCGCATACACATGGAATGGTGGCAATGAAAAACAGGCTACACGGCAAAACAAATGGACGCCAGTGAGCTTCACAGCATCAGTGAACGGGGTGGGGGTGGAGGGTGGGGGTTTCTGCTTCCTAACTGTTGGCTACTGGCTCTTTTTTTTAGCAGGTTTAAACCTTTTTTTTGTGGCATTTTAGTGTAAAAAGTATTATTGCGTAACAGAACCCAACGAAAGATTATTATTATATGAAGTGTCAGTTTTCGCTCAGCTTTCAAAGAACAGGTGGTGTGGTATTTGTTCTCTCAGATGTGACCCTCGAGAAGATTAAGGCAATGAATGCACTCAATAACTCTCCCCTCCAGCTCCACTGGAATTTTAAGTAGCTTTGAATATTTCTCTGGTTTAAAAATGGAAGCGGCATTATACAGTCTGGACAATGCGTATCTTCCCTTGAATGTCACACCATGATCAGCATGACTAACATGTCTACTTTTCTAGCGATTGGACATTTTTATTTTATTCACTGGCCAAATGTACACACGAATACCTTTTATAATACCTAAAGCTGGTTCAGAGATGTGATTCTTCAGAAAAAAAATGTTACTTAAACTGGATAGAGTAGTGTGGATTAAAGCAAAGGCAAAGCAATAAGGAAAATATTGTACAATCACTAAACATCCTCTATGGAGAAGAGAGATGAAGTAGCCCTGTCTCCTATGTTCTTAACCAGCAATCGATTTTCTCTGTGGAACAGGCTATATATAGAGCTTGGAGACCAAAGGGATGCCCTCTCACTTTGTATCTGGCAATTACTTATAATAGAGGCAGCTCTTACCAATGCGCACATTGCAGCATCTGCACTCGAGAACAGAAAAAGAGAGATCACAGAAGCATGGATCTGCAAACTTACAGATTCCCAATCTACTTCACCTTAAATTATTTATGTTAAAAAGGGATATCTGCCTGACAGAATCCCTTTATTTATTTATCAACTGGGAAGACAGGGCTTATATAAATACTCTACATAACTACTTAAATATTTTGTTCCAAATGTCCATATGCAGCTACTCCCAGTAGACTCTGCGCTGACGGATGTGATCCCGTGTTTGTTTATAGAAACTATTATAATTGCAGGTTTCTGAGGATCATGGGATAGAATTTGCTTTTCCTTTCCGAACCTTGTCTTTCTCTCCTCTTTAGTCTTCACTTTGCTTCTGTCATCTGTAACTTTTAAGATTCCTTATAGATTCCACAAAGCCTCCTCTGATTCCGACTTGAGTTGTTGAGGGTACAATTAGGACTGACAAATCTCTTTTTGCTCTGCCGTTTCTGTGCCACAGTGGATATTAAACCAGACGTGCCATTGGCTGTGGAGCCCTTGTCTCCTTTGGACCTCCGCACAGATCTGAGGATGCTGGGGCCAGGCTCGGACCCAGGACTGTGGGAGAGGCAGCTGCAGCAGGAGCTGCTCCTCATTCAGAAACAGCAGCAAATCCAGAAGCAGCTGCTAATCAGCGAGTTCCAGAAGCAGCATGAAAAGTTGACCCGTCAGCACCAGGCTCAGCTCCAGGAGCACCTCAAGGTTAGAACAGTTGTACGGAGACACAGCACAGCACAGCACAACACAACACAACACAACACAACACAAAACAACACAAAACAGCATGACATATAGCAGATCACTAGAAAACTGTATAACTAAGGCAAACATCAAAAAAAGTGCAAAAAAGGGGAAACAACTCAGCGCAGCAGGGCAAAGTGTTGAGCAATACATTAGCTCAGCATGACTTTAGTTTTTTACCGTCAAACACAAAGTTAGCCATCATTGCAAAATAGAAAGTGCAAAATTTAGCCAAAGCCACTGTGATTTATTTTAAAAAAGTGCTGTGTTCATGCTGATGTGATGCCTACATGCTTCCCAGCTTCAGCAGGAGCTCCAGGCCATGAAACAACAGCAGGAACTTGCAGAGAAGGAGCGCCGTTTGGAGCAGCAGCAGCAGCAGCAGAGCCAGCAGGAGAAGGAGCAGGAGAAGCATCGACGAGAACACCACATTTCCAGCCTGAGCCTCAGGGGCAAGGAACGCTCCAGAGAGAGTAAGAGCTCGACACCGTCACCGCTACCAATAGTTTTTTAATATATTTTTTAAAGGACACAGATGAAAGCAAGCATGGGGCCACACGTTTTAACCCATCAATCCTTTTTTTAACACATCACATTAGCTGAACGGCTGAAGCACAATATGCATACAACAGCTGGATAGGAAAGCTTTACTACAGTAAAGCTTGGTGTTACACTCGTTAAAATATTCCCTTTGGACCAAGAACCTCTTCTGTCGCCACTATTATAAAACTTTTATAAATGTGGAAAGCATCACCTTTGTAGGTATCATGAACCTAAATATTTATTGTAATAAACACTTTCACAAAATCTTTTCCAATATCTGCTGTTATAAGTAATAGATGTACTATACAAAACAATAAAGATAAGTTAATTTAAACACATTTTACCTCTTAATCTTAGTCAGGCCGATGCTTTGGATATTTCTGTGCTTAGGTTGGTGATAATCAGTTCTCAGTCATATTAGATGCGATACAAAAGATAAATAAATACAAAATCATGGAAAGTATAATTTTCAGACTGCACAGGTGAGCGTGACTAGAGGAGAAATTGCCCTCTGGCTATTGCTTTTCTCAGTATTTGCTCAAACTGTTGGATGACGTCTGGCAACAAGGTAAACCACGCAGCTCAAATGTGCTTTAAACATCAGATAAAACGAAACAATAAAACAATAAAGCAATGATGGCAGCGATACTTAACCAGCGAATGACATAAAGTTGGCAGGTGACATTTAAGTTTAGTGTTTAGGGGAAAATGTCTTTGAACAGCACAATGAAAATCGAGCCGGATATAGTATTTCATTTCTGTTTTTACCTTATACCTAATAATAGATGAGATTTATGACTTTGTCAGGGCAAAGTTGAAACTGTACCCTGCAACTGTAACCACCTGATTTGAAAGAACATCTCTGTGCAGGATCACTCTAGCAGGACTAATATAGTGCTCTTAGACCACTAGGGGGAGATCTTCCTACATTATTTTGTTGGAGAGTCTAGTAAATATATTCTAAAAGGATTATAGAGAAGAGGGCAGATCTGAATCTCAGTTTTATGGTGAATGTGATATAGAAACAGATATCTGAAAGCAACAAGCATGGAATTATATGTTGTTAATCATAGCCCTAGGTTAACCCCAATCCCCTCCGTTCCGTGTGTTGGTCTCACAGGTGCAGTGGCTAGTACGGAAGTGAAGCAGAAACTCCAAGAGTTTCTGTTGAGCAAATCAGCTAAAGACTCTTCTAGCAATGGAGCTAATCATTCTTTCATTCAGCACCCAAAACTCTGGTATACGTAAGTGCTTTCCACTGATTTAGAGCCCGATAAAATGCCATGTTTGGGTCACACAGAAACATATATTACAGCTATTTGATTTATTCTTGTATTAACAGGTCCTCTCACCACACATCACTGGACCAAAGCTCTCCACCTCTGGGCGGCACATCGCCCACTTGCCAGTATACTCTGCCGTCGCCCGTAGAGAGCAAGGACGACTTCCCCTTGAGGAAGACAGGTTTGCTAATTTGCAAATGCAGACACCACTGAAATAAAAATGCAAATACATATGAATACTGTACATACATAAATATACAGCCATCTAATTTAACTATTTCAGTGTGCTTTCTTCTGCTAGTCATTTTATTACTTTCTAAAGATTAGGCTCATTGCGCCCACCCCCGTGTTTCCTCTAGGGCTCAACACAAAACATGCGAAAGTTAACTTGTTTTTTTCTTTTTTTGTCTTCTTGATTCTTTTTTTGGATCATTTTAAAACCTGATAGACAGACACGGGCACTGCAATTTTCACATGTTTTTCTTTCACAAGCATAGATCTGCTGTTTTTTTGTGCTAATATTAGCTTGCCAATATTAGCTTAACAAGGCCCACATTTTTCCCTATGTTATAATAATAAACCCAGTTCAAAGGCCTCTCTGAAGCTGATTAGCGGTAAATGAAAGAATTATGGCAGAATAATTTCTCCTGACTTACGGGCTTTAAAAACTATTTAAAAAAAACACAGGTTGTCACTAAAAAGCAGCTCAGGTTTGTTGGTTTAAAGTTTGAGGAGTTCCTGCAGCTCTTGGTTTGCAAAAGCATAAAAGCTTGCCAGGTTAAAAGCTTCATAATTTGGCAATGAGGTTATCAAATTATATTGTCTTCTTTTCCCTTCTGTGTCTCTTTTAATTACACTGGAAAACAGTTCTACTTGTTGAGTTATTTAACTACAGGCCTGTCGTGTTGTGCGTGTACACAATTTGGAGATCAGGAAGAAGAATTATACCTTATAAAATAAAGCCAGTTCATGTCAAGAGCAAATATTAGAAAGGTAAATGAAAGCTGTGTGAAATTTTAGTTATATTGCATCTTGATCTCTGATGTGCGTTACTGTTTTGTGAAGTGGAGGAGGAATATCTCCTCTAAATATCTATTTACACTTTTGAGACGTACCTTTAGACAAAGACACGATGTAAGGGGTGCAACAAGTGGAAAATCATTTATCTAACACAACAGAGAGACTGTTTATGGCATTGTTTGCATTTCAGTGCGAGTACAGAAAGGCCCATTTAAACAAATAAAAGGGGGAAGGATAACAGTTCGTTCTCCCCGCTTCTCAGACACATTCGTGCATCCATTTATGGCTCAGTCGCTTGCACTGATAAATCTACTTCTAACCCTCTAACCCTTTGGATTCCTGGATCTATATGTGGTCATTTCCTGCTCAGGCCTTCCTCCCCCACTTCCTGCCTGTCTTCATTAAAGCCCTCTGAGAGCTTGGCACGCGAGGGGGATGCACAAAGGTAGTGTTGTTCCCCGAACCACCGGCTGTCACTGATAGCTGATTGGCAGGTGTTGCCGTCTTAGAACTGGCACTGGCAGGATGAACCTCGACAGGACTGTTTGTTTAAGCAAAGATAGCTCTCTCAAAACAAAGTGGAGAAGACTCGAGTGCGCCGCGTTAGACTCCCCGCTGCTTCAGTCGGACGGGCGACTCAGCATCCTCTTTTACTCTTTGGCTCTGAGGTTAACGATGAGGTTTGCGATGCATGTGCAGCGTTTATTTCACAAGCTCATAACTTGGTGATCAGTAGCTGTCTTTTCTCATATTCAAGTGAGCTTTTTGCATTTAATTCCTCACCCTTAAAAAAGGGAACCAAGTGCTTACCCTAAACAAATGTTGTGTTTTTTAGGAAAACCTTGAAACCAACTGAAATTTAGTAAATGAGTAACAGTGAACGAGTGCAAACCTGTTAGATTATTAGTCTCTAATTATGACCTCTGCTATTAGGTGCCCTGATAATAGTTGGTAAATCTTGCCTAAAAGTAAACAATAGTGTTAGTGTCATTGTCGCTATTTTACTCACTCAAGTAGTTTAAAGAATTTTACATGATTAACTTGTTTACTCGGTATATATCCTCTTTGTTTCAATTCCTGGTACTGCAACAGGCCGAGGGCACGCGATAGTCTGTGGCAAGAATAGTTGCAGCTTAGCAGTAAGAAGTGCAACACCCTCCCTAGTCTTGACCCAGTTACTAAATGTGTGCATTCAGCAGGTGCAGGAAAGATTTTCAAAAATAATCCTGCAAAGGTAAAACTGTAAAAAGCCCCAAGTAAAACAAAGTGAGGTTTGTGTGGAGCCTCTCTGTGCTAAGAATATAATCGGATTTTTGTATCTGAAAGATTTATTAAAAGAAATTAAGGTGCTGATCCTAAAAGATTGAACGTCTAAGGTGAAAAGGAATGCACCTTTGGCCAAAAAAAATGTTTCTGAAATAATGAGCACTATTACTTTTTTTTTCTGTTCAGCATTAATTAAAACAAGGATGCCCAAACCAATGCATAGCTGGCCTCCTTATGTAGAGAACACACACCTTAGCTTTCCACTCAGCCATCTGTCCAGGTCCAATCTCTAATGGGTACAAGTGCTCACAGTGACAGCGGAGCTAAAGTTCTGATTAAGTGGCGATAACGTAAGGAGATTGATTTACGACCGCACAGTAATGTTGTCATCAACTGAGACGTCGGAACAGAAGTGACCCAGGTGCTCAGAGTTTATGCTTTTCCGCCGCCATCATTACCTCCTGTTGCACTGCGTATCCGGGCTTTTTTTTTCCATAGAGACCAGTGAGAAAGTGTTTGTTCACAAGCTGCTGTCTGGCGTTCCCGTGGCGACCAATTGGGATGCGTAGCTTGGTGGCAGCAGCGTGTAAAAATAGAAAGCAATCAAGGCAGCAGGGCGTGAAGCAAATTCATAAGACTCCCAACAGCGTTTTCTCTCCATTTATCTCTCCTGCCTCCTTTCTTCCTCCCTCGCTCTCTTTCATTCTACCTCACACCCACAGGATTAGAGGTCTGTGCCACGTATTAGGGAAGAGGGTTTTGCTGCTTTTGACAAAAGCCAGAAATAGCAGCATTTGGCCCACTCTCCTAGCTTTGCCCCCATCACTTCTCCCTCTCCTCCTCCCTACAGTGTTCCCTATGTAAAGTATATCTGTATATTGTACATGTCGGAAGGCCTGTTTAATTATTGATCCGCTAAATAATTGAAACAGGTTGGCTATTGTGTAACAGAGGGTTTACATAACTTTAGCACAGCTTTGTGCTCTGGCTTTCAGTCAAAAAATCAGCTTATCCATTCTGCTTATTTATTTATGTGTGAAGGTAGCTGCAGTTTTTCATTCCTAAAAGGTTGACGGGAAGTCTTTGCAAGACATAACTAACAGAGTCACGGTTCAGTGGTCGTAAAAGTGTTGCATCCATATAAGCGATGGTTACATGATTCAAAATGAATTCCTTTCTATGATTCATCCTCTGGTCCTTGTTTATCTCTTTCTTCGTCAAATGCGTCAAAGATATAGTTCTTCCAACAACCTTAATGATCATGTCATCAGTACTTATTTAAAGGGTCTATTTGTTTTTTGCTTCCCATTCTTAACATTTACCTCCAGTCTGTTTATCTATAGGCATTGATTTGCATGGCAAAAATTCATTCTCAGTTGCCAATTTTTGTCAAAAATTTGTAGAAAAAGTCATCTCGGGTATCTTACAAAAGTTTGGTGATTATATTGAAGCATTATTAGAATAGCAGTCTTGGACCAGACCATTCCTGCTGAGTAAATTTGACCCACTTAAAAAGTGTTCAAATAAAATAAAATGAGCCAAAACGTCAACATTTGATCAACATATTTAATCCATAATAAAGAAAAATGGGAAAGTCTGAAAGCATTGTCTGTCATGAAGGATACTGGTGGTCAGCGCCGAGGGGGAAGTGCATTAATAATAAGTCTGGATCACTTGAGGCCAGGCTGTGTGTGAGTGAGGCTTTTTGGTAATGTGCTCTGATTGTGTATTTGGGTATCTCTGGTTCGCATTAGGAAGAGGAGAGTGTGGGGAGAGCCTCAAACATCTGCCATGTTTTTGTGTTAGTTTAACTGTTGCTACTGTATCAGACTGTGGTCACCAGGGCGGCAGGTAGCGGACTATTTCACTTAGAGCCTGTGTGTTGCTCAACCTAATTTAGTCCAGATGAGGTGGAAATGGGCCCAATCCTGACTCATTTAATTTATCTGAAACCTGCTTGGAAATTCTACGAAACTGAAGTTGTAACATGTCAGGGCATGACAACAATGCTTTTTTTTTGGACATATTTATATTTCGTTTTAAGTTAGTCTTGTTATTTATTCTTTCATTGATACATTCCATTACTGAGGCTGTATAAACACATCCTGTTTGAATACACTCACATGATAGCATAACTTATCTCCATACGATCCAGACTTACTGAAAAATGTCTTTTATTTTTAGCCTCCGAGCCCAACCTAAAGGTACGATCCAGACTGAAGCAGAAGGTGGCGGAGAGGAGAAGCAGCCCCATGCTAAAGAGGAGAGATGGAAACATCATGACTCCTTACAAAAAGAGGGCTTTGGAGCTAATGGGTGTGTAACATAACCGACTACGTGTTGAATTCCTTTTTTTCTGTTACGTGTGCAGACAATCTTCAATAGCTTATTATCACTTCTTAAAATATTATCTAGAAGCAACACAAGCATATGTTGTAGTATTATAATTACATGATGGCTATTGCACTTTGATGTAAAAAAAAAATACCATTGTAATCAGGCAGCTGTGACCATACGCATTAAGCTGTCGTGAGGCTTACAGCTGTTTTGCTAAGCCTCAGTGCATGTGTGTTGTGTGCAGAGTGTGAGCACGCATACTGCGTCTAACTCCTTGATGTTTTTGTAGATTCTACGCCCACTAACAGTGCCCCTGGCTCTGGCCCCAGCTCTCCCATAGGGGCTTCAAGTGCCTTGGGGGCTGAAAATGGACCCTCCTCTCTGCCTACTACCACAAAAACGGAGGTATGTTTATAAATCATACGCACTGCAACTGTTGTGCCAAAAAAATAAAGCAGCAGGGTCTAAATTCTTAAGCGTTTCTGCAGGCATATCATTTGAATAGCAAAAAATAATCATTTAAAGTCAGGGCACTAAACGGCTCTCTGCCCTTCTGCTTGCAGCTATAAAAACAGCCAGTTGTCCCTCCGTCTGTTACACTTCAGTGAAAATGGCTCCCTACACTGACATTAAATGGGCACAGCTCGACCCACATGCTGATTGCCCATGTTTTCTTCTATAAAGATGGCACTATGTAGGAAAATAAATTTAGCCCGTCTTAAAATGCTAAGTGTAAAAGCAGCAAAGTGTACATCTTTTTTCTATCAAACATTTTTTTTTCTTACCAGATGTACTTTAGAATTCATTTTATGCTTTGCAAAGTAAGAAAATCTGTAGTTTGACTGCAAGGCTGCTGTTGGCTTGTCGTTGTGTTCCTGTCACCGGCCTGGCTGCATTCCTATACTGATTTGTTCTGAGGCGTTTCCCAATAGATTCATGGCTGAGTTACTGACCAGAGCTCCCCTCAGATTGAGTTCACAAAGCAGGCCATTATAAAGTGTGGCAGATATGACACATCTCTGAACAATCTTAACAGAGCAGCTGTGTTTTGCTTAACCATCACTGTTTACTCTCCCTGGGACCTCCAGTGACACAGAGAAGGGAGAGACGCCCTGACATCGGGCTGAAGGTTGGGGCTTAGGGAGACAGTCAAACTGTGGATTTTAATTGATATCCCAGGCACTGGTAGCCAAAGACACCCAGATGCTAACAACATAAACACACAGGACTGCTATTGTATCGGCCCTAGCCGGGGCTCTCATGCGAGACACCGGTGGACTGCGGGGCTGCTCATGGACCTCATGCCTGTTGCAAAAGCAAGGCGTGTTTGTGCACCGTTACATTAGGTATCCTTTTTCAGAGGGAACAGGTCCCTCGGGTCAAATACGGGCCGGATATCCACATACAGGTCACTGAGTACTGGTAGGGGTTGGAAGGATAAACATGGCTGTTCCAAAACCACATGCTGGTCCACTGCTCAGCTGGGTACAGGAAGTATGCCCCATTGCTGATGTTCTCAGAGAGAGTAGCTTGAGGGTGGGGACTGGGGAGTAGGAACAGGCAGAGGGCTGGCTAGGGACTGAGGAGCTGAGGATAAAACGGTAGATTTAGAGGTTTGCATTGCTTTATAATAGCATACCATCCTCAGTGGTGCCATTATTTTCCTAAACGCCAAACATTAAAACTCATACCTCTTTGTTTGCAGTGAGGAGGGCTGTTATTTATCATAGGTCATTATGGTCATGGCTGTGCTCATGTTGGCTTGTGAAACTGTGCTCAGCTGGATTCCTAAATCTGCAACCTCCTGTTAAATTTTGTCTCTTTCTCTCTTTTGCTTTATTCCACATGTTTGATGTAGAGATGGCCTTCCCAGCCAAGACTGTTCCGACCAGAGGGCTCTGTCCCCATGCTGAGCTTATACACATCTCCCTCTTTACCCAACATCTCCTTGGGGCTTTCTACTGCATCCTCGCCAATTAGTGTGAGTACCACTTTTGCACACTTACTCGTACAAGAAATCTTTCTGCATACACCAGTGTAGCCATTTAGTCAGCGTCAACGTTTCAACTCGCTCTGTAGGTTGTAAAACCTGCCATCAGTGACTGTCTGGGTGCACAGGTCACTGACCTGCGGCCCCAAATGATTTTATCGACCTTAGATAAATATTGTTCTGGGTCAGGCGTGCTCTTATCCTCCCCTGTTACCTCATTTATCACAGCTTTTAAAAAAGTCTAAGTCCACTCAAGTGCAGCTCCTGATAGCACAACACGTGATATATCATCTTTTAGTTCTCTGGCACATTCCACAGCGTTCTGTGCATCAGCTTCTTCTAACCATCAATGGTCCGATTTCACTCTTAGCTTTACTCATATATGCAACAAGAGCAATTTTCATTCATAAAAAAAGCTATTATTGAAGTAGACATGTTAAAGAAATGGTCTTAATAATAACATATACTTCATTGATCCCCGTGGGGAAATTACTCTCTCTGCATTTGACCCATTCACTCAGTGAAGCAGTGGGCAGCCAATAAGCAGGCGCACCAGGGAGCAGTGTGTAGGGACGGTACCTTGCTCAGAGGTACCTCAGGGGAGCCGTTCAGTGGATTAGAACCCCCAACCTTCCGACCACTAACTCACAGTTTTAGAGATTCACTTCTGTTTCCCTAAGATTTACAACTTTTAATCTTTACTCTTCTATCAGGCTGCTATGGGGTTGAAAGACAGATCAACAGAAATCAAGCACGGGCTGCCTGGGCACCTGCTGGGCCCTGTGCCCCTTCAGACAGGCCTGGAGTCTAAGGTGAGCCCCAGCCACCAGGCTCTCCTCCAACACCTCCTCCAGAAGGAGCAAATGAGGCAGCAGAAGATACTCTCCTCTGGTAAGATTGTGCCAAGTATATTATTTTATACATTGTACAACTTTATTACGTCATTTATATGTCATGAATTTGGGAGAAACTTAATAAGAGATTTTGTTTTTCTTTTGACAAGGCCAAGGCTCCATGTCATCACACTCTCAGTCCCCCCTGGCCATGAAGGATCGTCCCTCCAGCACTCGGCCAAAACTACCAAAACACCGGCCCTTGAACAGAACCCAGTCAGCACCGCTGCCTCAGAACACACTGGCTCAACTTGTCATCCAGCAGCAACACCAGCACTTCCTGGAGAAACAGAAACAATACCAGCAGCAGGTCCATATAAATAAGGTACAGTACTAGTCATCAATATTAATGCGCACGGGAGGATTTTGACTTTCAAATATCTTTTCACAGCATTTTGTATTCCTGTTTGGGCCTCACAGGGTCTTGTTTTACTGCAGGGAGTCTGATTTAATCATTTCGAGCACACAAATGCTCCTCTATTTTTAGCCTTTTGTAAAAGCATCCGTGGCCGCTCAAGTTTACTGACCTGGGCCGTTGCCTGTTCTTCCCTGAAGTCCTTGTGTTATTTCTGCAAGGCCAGGACCTTTTGCCTGACTTCAAATGGGGAAGAAATCCTTCCCCTGCACTAATTTTGTTATCATAACTTAAGGCATCAGTGCTGTTCACATGCTAACTCTGTGAAATTCAATTCAGCTTAGATCAAATGAAGAAAAAAAAAAGTGCCCAGAATGCATTTTGTTCCTTTGTGGCAATATTTGTGTTTCTGCGAGCTGGCCGAGGCGACCTCCCAATACACTGAGTCTAATTATGCTGCTGAGGGACGTGTGCGAGGTGGCAGACACTGTGAAAGGCTGCATTGTGTGAGCTCTCATACTGATGTGTCCCAACACTCAGCCCTGCTAGAGCCATGGGAACCATAGAACAGCTTAAACCTTGAAATAATAAAAAGCACAAAGCTCCACAAGCTGGATTTTGGTGGTGCAGTACAGACGCACAACTTTAACAGTTTTTGTAACAAAACATGTGCCTGAAAGTCAAAAATTTGTTTTAAAATCATATTATCATCTTATTAAGTATTCTGTGAATCTGATTCTATTGGGAGGTTTGGAAGAATAGGGACATATTGTGTAGAAAAATGTGAACAGGTTTGGCTCTGATCACTCAGGCCAATGAGATCGCAAATAAAGCCTCTTTAAGTGGAGGTTATAAATGGCCTCTAATCAGGGATGAGCCCTCAGTGTTTATTGAGAGGGATCTCTGAAACATTGCCCTAATTAATTTCCTAGCAGAGGCTTGTCTACAGCTGCTTTGAAACGTCCTTTAGTGCCAGCAACAGTAGGGGGCACTAATGGAAATTTAGAAGCGCTTAGGGATCTTAGGAAGGGGCATGAACTCTGATTACTAGTGCCAAGCTAAGGAGGCTAATTCCTGTAGCTGAAAGGGTATTTATATACAGATTCTGTAGGCTGTAATGTTATTTGTTACCAGCCATTTAGAGGGAAAGACTTTCCTGTCTGTTTCTGGAGCCCCCCTGTGGTCAAATAATCATATTATGGCACTGTTAGCTGCCATTGAGCAAAGCCCCAAGACACAAGTATGGAGAATTGTAGCTGTGATTGGTGAAAGAACATTTGTAATGGGAGTATGAAAAAGAAGAAGAAGTGCTATGCTAAATAAATGATCCAGGTTGAGAGTGTAATATGATGTGCTCACAGATGCCAGTAGAGAGGATGCTGCGGGGAGAATGTTGTCTTATGTTTTCTCTTCTCCCTGCAGCAGAACTGTGCAGAATATAAACTATTTTTTAAAGAATAAAACATGATTTGCAGTTGGCAAGACCTTTTTACGTGTTAGGCTTTATATTATAATGCAACTAAGTGACACTAATCCCCTTTAATGGTCCAGTCACTGCTACAGAATATTTATTTATGCACATAAAAGGCAGGAATAATGGCTAATCTACCCGCAACCCTCCTAAATGCATCAGTCAGAAACATTTCATTCATAGGTGGCCTTACCTTAAACAGATATTGGTGTTTGATTGCGCTTGTCAAAAGAAATACAGAATTTAGTTTTCTATTATTCCAAATAATGTACATGTCAGGGTCCTTTCCAGCTCTAAAGTGTTTCTTTTTTGATCCAATGTAAGAAAAACATATTTTTGTTGCAATACATGATGTAGAACCATGAAATACTTGAAAGACATTGTGTGTTTTATTTTAGTTTTTGTAGTTTTAAAATGGGGAATGACGTAGTTACAGGGACTGTGAAGTGTTTGCTTTATTTGATTACCAAATAATGACTGAGGTTTTTTTTTTTTGTTGCATGTCTTATTAATATTATGACTATAAATAGACTTATGAGGACAATACCTTTGTTTTTAAAAGCTGCAATTCTGGTTATAAAGCCAGAAACCTCAAGTTCGAGTTATTTTTGCTTTTCTCTCATTGAAGATTGATTTTTGGCGACCGTTGACTGTGGGATAGCACCGTTAATATTAAGGCAATATGTTTTGCAGCTGTTGTCCAAGTCCATTGAGCAGTTACGTCAGCCCAGCGCACACCTGCAGGAATCGGAGGAAGAGCAGGAGGAGCAGCACAGAGAGGAAGTAGAGGGCATGCAGGAGGACAGGCTGCCCCCTGGAGGTGTTATCCGGAAGCATACGCTCAGCAGTAGCAGCAGCGGCTCGAGCAGCGAGCTCCCAGACACTCACTACGGGGTCATCAAGGTCAAAGAGGAGCCAGCTGATAGTGAGGATGAGGCTCTGACCAATCAGAGCTTAGAGTCAGAGCAGAGCACCTATCTCCACCAGGTCAAAGGGAGACTGGTGATAAGAGCCATGATCTGAGAGGGGAAGAGGATGAGATCACACACTTGCAACATTCGCAAATAAAGAAGTCTTTAAAAAGATGCACATCTGCAGACAACACATGCACACATACATACGCACACACACGCACGTGCACACAGCAGCTATTGCACAGTAGGCCAGCTCTCCTTGTCATGACATATGACCCCTTTTCACTCAGCTGCAGCCTCACTCGTCCTACACTCTTAAAACTCTCCATTTGTGATTTTTTTGTGCAGTGATCTCTGTAAGATATGTACGTTTCACTTGTGTAAATATGAAAAAAAAAAAAAAATTTAGACCGTTGTTTTTAAGAGCTGCTTTGGTCTTTTTGAGTCTGCTCAGCCGGCAAAACGTTGTGTGTACATATCCTGTGGATTCGGCATCAAAATGATTTCTAGAGGGAAGTTTGAGCAGGTGTACAGCTTTAAAGAGCCACCTTTTGTTCCCATTGTGTATTTTTTTGTTGTTTTTCTTTTGTTGTTTTTTGGATAAAATATTTGAATTCTCTGCTATCCACTCCATCATCGTGTAAGTCAGTAAGTCCTCACAGTACATACCGCATTGTTCTCGAAAATCTGTGATGATGTTCCATGTTAAATGGTCTCAGACCTGAAATAATAAACATCTGTCTTAGAAAGAATGTACACTTAAATCCTAAGGAGGACGCTCCCTTGGGTTGGCTTTTGTGCTGGGAGTGATATTGCCACTGCTCACATTGCAATTTGAAGGATAAAGCACTGTAGCCCTTATTGGGTGTGCAGACACATCCCGAGTCTCCATGTCTCTTACTCTCTTAGCAGTACCAGAGCTGGGGTTCTGTGTTAAGCTGAGCTCTCCTCCCTCCGTCTCTCCTCTGGGTCCAAATCAAAGCTCGGCCCAGTTCCTGCCCAGCTTTCAGCAGAGGAGTCAGACAGAGAGAACGAGAGAGAGAGGGCCGGGCAGGAAATGCCTTCTAGAAGCCAGGAGTTGGAGTGATTCATGTGTGCAGGAATGTTGAGAGAGGAGGACCTAGGGTTGGAGGAGTCCAAGGGGCCAGGCTTAAGAATTGATTTACTGTCAAAGCGAATTACAAAGTGAGTGGGGATATGGTTAAGGGAGTCCTTTTTAAAGGGAATCGCTTCCTCTGTATTCCCCTGTGGCATGCTTACCTCAACATGCAGGTTTGATGTTACTTCAATAAAAAAAAAATTCAATTAAAAAAAAAACAAAATAAAAAAACTGGACGGGACCTCGCTTCTCCGTTATTTTTTGTGAACCCGTTTCCCCCGAAGTGCCCATTGCGACATGTATAGTCTGTCTTAAGGTGATCAATCAGTTGTATTGCATAGCTGTGAACCTTCCTGTTTCATTTATGCTGTCGGCTAAATGTTTTAAAAAAACAAAACAAAACAAAAAAACCATGAATAAAAACTAAAAGAGGTAGTGTAAGGTTCTGTGTTTGGATTCATGTGAAATCAAAACTGTCTGTCTTATTCTGTACATTCAGATTGTCCAGTTTTAATGTTTTTAGTGTAAGTAAACACAATCAGAACAATGTGAGTCTTGTTCTCTTGCTCCTTTGATTTGGTTGTAATGAGAACTCCTTTGCTGCCAGTGGGTGTGGAGGTGGGGAGGTGCGGGGGTCCTGTGGTCTGTTCATAGCAGTTTGCATTTCTTCTCTTTGTTGCCTTGCGTGATAAACCTTTCTTTTTTTTTAAAAAATAAAGTTAATTTACCTCTGACTTTTTTTGTATTTTTTCTGATTATAAAGTGAAAGTAGAAAACATCATAAAAAAAGCCCCCAAAGCATATCCACAAACACTTAAGGTTTTTAATCATTTTGAAATTAACATCACAAACAGGTTTCCTAAATCATTAGCCAAGCTTGCTTTTCCCACAGTCGTATTGCCCAGCCTTATATTGCAAGGAGATCTACTTTTTAAAGGGAGCTTAAGGGACTTTCAAAACATTTCTTTGATGTGAGCAAGCGAGGCTTCTTGTTGCGGTATTAGAACAGTCAAGATAAGGTGAGCTCAGAGCAGGTGATATATGACTTGCGTGAATACTTTTCAAACCAAGCTTAAGCAATTTCACAGCTGGCTTAGTTCATGGGCCTGACCTGATATGCTATACACGCAATGATGAGACCAGAAAACTTCAGTCACAGTCTAATGTTGCTCTCTGCAAAAATGCTACTCTGGGAACTTTCAAGTGACAGAAGCAGGAAGGCCTGTTTTTGGTGGTTTCATCTAAATAACAGATTTAAGAAAATGAATGATATAAAACAACAAATTTTACCCAACCTTTTCTTCTTCTTTTTTTTAAATGAAACTTTCATAAGAGCTCCTGGAGCATTTTCACAAAGGTGTAGAGTTACTTCAAATTAGGAAGCATTTGAGTTAAATTAGACACTGACTCTTTCTTAAGTAGATTCCATCTGTCTTGGGCTTCAGGCTCTCGTGATTTTAAATGAGCTGTTACAAAGGGAGAAAAAATAACGAAGCCCAAATCCATCTGCGCTGCCCCTCCCCAGCTGCAGACAGGGCCAGTTGTAAAAGCAAACAAGCATTTTTAAAGGTGTAAGGAAGTAAGAACGACAAAAGCCTACCTATTTTCTCTAAATGGAATAAACTCTGAGTTAGCCCTGTATTTTATCACCAACTGTGCTATTTCAGAAAAAAATATTTGGATTGAGTGTGCACATACATATAAGAATGTGCGATAGTGGTGGTAATGATGACTTTGTGGAGTCATAAATTTTAAGGCAGAAAAGCAACAGAAAAACACATTCTTAGCTCCCCAAAATCAGCCAAATCATGAAATACTGTTCAGAGGCACTTGAGTAAAAATGGCAGAGACTAAAAAGCACTCCAAACACTCAACTGTTGAGAACCCTCAAAAACCAGGGTTTATATACAAGGACTGCAAGCCATAACGGGAACGACATTAATCAGAGGGGGTTTTTTGCGCAGAAGTTTCCTTATTGAGAAAATAAACATGTCTCCTTACAAGTAAAACATATTGAAGTTAAAATGATTTCTGATTAACACCAAGAATACAAAGTGGACGCAACTAATGAATGAAATGAAAGGCTAGAAGAAAACCAAAAAACTCAGACCCATAAATAGAATTTGGATGGGTTAACCTGTGAAACTGTAAAACTCTGACTCATAGCTGAGAGAGCTACTGAACACATCAAGGCTGTCAGATAGATAGATAGATAGATAGATAGATAGATAGATAGATAGATAGATAGAGCTGGTATAATTGTGGTTTGATGTTTGACTGGCACAGTAGGGTTTTCAGTTAGAGGAGCCCATTTCAGAAGCCTGCTTTCTCCATTCCAGAAGGAGTTTTCATGTGCATTTGGGATCATTGTCCTGTTGGAATACCCAATCATCTAGCTGTTAAGTTGAACAAATTTTGTTGACTTTCGAGTTAAAAGACATTTTAGAACCTTTAGCACCACCTATTAAAAGATTTAAGTGAGTGTTTGTGTATATTTGAGCCAAATTTTGGTTTGATTGAAGAAAATCCATTCTTTGCACCCAGTTCTTGTTTTTTTAAAGTCATTAAAGATGTATGGAGTACAACCATTCCACCCTTAAATGTGCAATGCTATAATCTGACATATTTGATGTCTACTACTTTAACAGTGCAGAATTTGGATCTTAATAGCAGCAGAGATGTCGTGTTGAGCACTTCACAGTCTGCTTGGGGGAAAAAAGTGGTAAGCACCACAGGACAAAATGTCTACAACTTACGAATGACAAATCTTTGATATTTTCTGATTCATCTCTTAGTCTTCTGATTCATCACTTGCATAATGACCCTGATGTTCATCAAAAACCTGCCTTATCCAGAAAATAACCAGATATTTCTTATTGGTAACCATGTGTTCCCTCGCAGTGTCTCTGTACCTGCGGAGAACATTTATTGGGCATCTCTGGAATTTAAACTGTCTCCTGATTTTTTGAGGTGAGACTTTCAGACCCAATGACGTGGTGCAAAATGTAATGTTTTCATCATGTAAACCAGAAAGGTCAGTGTGTGAAATAAAACGACAGAGAGAGGCTGTGAAATAAGGGCACCTATAGCTGATATGTAACAGAGAGTGGGGGAGATTTGACTTCTATGACAATCCAGGAGCATTATAAAAAGGGTTATGAATATATAAGAATACTCCACAGTAATCAAAACTCACATAACAACCAGTGTTGCCCATAAACATGGCTATACTTCAGGATGTAAGTAATCTTGTTGAGGTGCTCAAAGTGATACTCACAGAGATGGACTTGCTAATCAGGAGTCAGCTTGAGGTTGAAAAACATATAATGGAATTATAAAGAATATAATGAACCCAGTGAATGTCTGCTTTAGCAGTACTGATGATGAAAAACATAAAGTAAAAATAACTGTCAGTATTTCAGGAGCCTGTTGAGAAATGACATGGCATCCCACTCATGCTCTCAAGTAACTGCTTTGTACTGCTGAAGATACAGTCAGATTTTCCTGCATTAAAGATTCAGGTTACCTCACATGCAAAGACTAATGACAAGAACTTTTAGAGGAAAACACTAATGGTAATAGAGTTAAACTGCTTCAGTAGTGACCCTAAATTCACCTGCCAGCCCTGGTCATTCTGACCCAGCAAAACCCAAAGTTTCCCAGTTAACACAGAACAGCTGTGGAAAACTTTTTGTGGCTTCATTCAATCAGGATTGAACAGATCCCGTGCATGGCTTTGCTCGGCTAGAGTAAGAAAGAGAAACATGCATTTGTGTTTTCTCCAGCCAGTCTTTCTAGACCCCTTTCATCAGGTCACAAATCTTAAAATGAAGTGCTTCAATAATCTGGGTCCACAGCAGGGTTTTTGTGAAAATCCAGTGATGTTGCTTGAAGATAAAAGGAATTAAAACAGGCTGATTTTGACCAAAAATTGTACTTTTTTTTAAATTCAATGAATAATTTTACTCTTAGTTGAAGTATGTAGGGATCAGCTAACTCACACTGACGCATACTTGGCATCATTATATGTGCCTTTAGGCTCCTTTGAGAGTCAAATGTCAGAGAACACACATCATTTATTTCTTTATGTATTTGTATCCTGTAATAAGACATTTAATAGGCTAGTTTCCCCCCATGTGTGGATTCATGTAGACGTGGCTACACTATTTAAAATACAACAAAACTGCAATGAAGGACTTGTTTGATGCTAACAAATTTATTCAGTTTAAACTGTGACCATTTTGCTTATGTTAGAGTTTGACATGACATTTGCCTCCTAAGTTGAGACAAATGAGGAAGTCATTTGTGGGACAAACTTGTAATTCTTTAAGCCTTGCCCACCAAAGTTGAGGATGAAAGGGAGCTAAAACAACACAAAGAGGGAAATTTCCAGCTTTCCTTTGTGCCTGTCAAGATTTGTGCAAGTCTGCCATGCAGTAGTGGTGTTTTCCTTTCCATGTGCTGCTAACCATGTTCGAGGTGTAGGGCAGCGCAGGTTGGCAGCAAATGAAGGGGCTGTTAAGTGCGCTGGTGTGAAAAACAAAGGACACAAAAAGTAAGATGTCAGATTTGTGCCCAGTACACTCTTTTACTGTTGGATCATCTGTGGTTTGTAATGTCTGTGAGGCCTTCATTTCTTTCTCTGGTGGCATGTACGCTGTCATTTAGCTTTCAGTTTAACATTAAACTGCAGTTCAGTGGAAAATAAAGCTTCATTTGTTCATTCTATCTTGATAAAATTGTGAGTTTTCCCATTAAATAAAAGTTTTCCAAAAACATCCCACAGAATTTCTTCTCCTGCCCACTGAGTTAAAGCACTGACGTCCCAACGCAGATAGCATTTATATTACTGCTAGTTGCTGTGACTGGTGTCATCCATACTGTTATCATAGCCTTTCAAGGATTAATATCCTTTTCAAGTTTAATGAGATAAGAGACCTGAGGGAGTTTTCCCCCTGCTGTGTTCAAAGACCATCCAGCTTTAGTAACTGCTTTATCTCAGCCACTGATTGACCTTTCTGATAGGTGATACTGAGGAACCACAGTGGCCAAAGGAAGTGGCCTCTCCACTGAGGGGATGGGGGGGGGGGGGGGACTGGCAAATCTGGGCTCTCCTGTCTTTTAGAATCCCATCAGTGGGGCTCGGTGTCCCCGGGATGCCGACTCTTCTCTTTGATTTCAGCGACCAGGCACTTTTACGTGCCTTC